AGATTTTCTATGGTCAGATGGAAAAAGTGCAACAGATTCCTCCATCTACGCTAAGGGCTAGTCCACACCACAAACAGCGTGTTCTGGCCCGATTTGGTGCCGGAACGCACTGGATCGCATCCCAGCTTGGAGAGTAAGCTTGGAGCGGTGGCTACTTCACAACACACACAGAAATCATGGGGAACAAAAGTAGCCACCCTCCAGAAGGAAGGACAGTGTCAGCACCAATTCAGAGATGATTTGAGGATCTACAGCTGAGGCAGAGCCAGCTGTCACTCACGCAGACATAATTGTCGTGATCCGCTTCAGCTGCGGCATCTCAGTATACCACGAGCTGTTGCTCGCGGTATACTGAGATTAGGGTGATGGGAGGATGCTAGTTTGTGTCCTCCCGTTACCCTAAGGAGAACTATGGGGAAAAGCCCTAACCCCATAGTTCTCCTTTAAGGTACCTGAATGCATTTTTAAGATGTAACTACTGAGTTTAGTGTCACTTTAAGTCCACTTTAACTGACTGGATGTATAGGCTGACACATGTCTGTTTACAGTTGACCACCCAAAGTGATTTCATTGGTCCATTTTAACTCGATTCCAAGAGGGAGGAAAAATTGGAACAGACACGGATGTCACATACAGCATGTTACATCCACCTCTGTTCTGATTTGACTTGGCAGGGGATCTGCCTATTATCCCTTGCTGAGATGGAACGGATAGTGGTCGTGAAAGGGCTCTTTCTCACCTAGACCAAGTATACAGATCTGGATTCCTAACTTCACTTGACACATGCTTGTTTTGGGTCAGTGACACAAAAAGAATTGAAGCATAGAGATAGCCAACCAACTAGCATTTTAAGAAGGGAATTAGCTATGGAATTCTCCATATTTCCAACAGTACAGGTTTACTGCAATATAAAAACCTCTCTGGTGGCGGGGCCGAGTCTCCTATCTTCTCTGTGTTCCATCACTGTAGTCGTCTTCAGTATTCAACACTTCTAGGAGGGTTGCATACCTGTGTCCCAAGAAGCCATTTCTTGTAGTAATGTTGGCGTCGGAGGAAGGAATCTCAGTATGTAGCAGGGAACGTGGACATTCAACAAGTGCCAAATTGTGAGGCAGCCTGGCGGAGGCTGCAGTTGTGGACGGAGAGAAGGTAGGAGATATGGGCCTTTCAGTATATTGCCTCTTCTGCTTCAAGAAACTGGCCGTTAGGACTTTTTATTTTTGCCTGACAGGTTAACTTGATATATATATATTTTTTTTCATTTTTGGGGGGTCTTCTAAGTCTTACAGTTACTTCAACACAGCAAAAGTAAGTTCAACTCAGCAAAAGTCAAATAAAACAGTCAACAGTTGGTTCAACTATATCTGTACATGAGAAGCGCTCATTCTCTTCCATTTATGTTATATGTATGCTTATATTGCTAAAGATTTGTTTCTATTCTCATATACAAAAGAAGTAGAACATAGAAGACCAAACATAATTGACTGCCTGTGCATGCTCGCTACTTCCTGCAATGGACACATGAGTACTTGAGAGGCTTTGAGGGGGGTGTTATTGACCTCCTGTACCCCCTTATTGAGATGTGCCCCTGAATGGCTCCTACTCAACATGTCTATCTAAAACTGATATTTCAGACTTGAATCTTATCCAAGCTGTTACAGCACGCTCAGGCTGCTCATATCTCTCCTAGACTTGACTGGCTGAGACACGTAGGGTTGGGGTGAATAACATATCTAGTGGGAAGATCTCATCATAATCATACCACCCAGCTTTTTCAGAAAGGAACATATTATAGCAGAAAATAGATAGGCAAAGGACACACCCCTGACACCCCAAAAACCTAAACTGACAGAGTTATTGTTGTCGCCTTTACATTTCCCTTAGGCCTCATGCACTGGGGCCACCTGCGTTAAATAAAGGAGAAGTTATCTAGGAAATATAAACAACTTTTGCTTCCCAGAACACTTTTTCCAGAGTTTATATGTTGCTGGGTTTAGTTGCGTTTAAATGTGTTTAGCCACAAAAAACCAGGCTAAATGATCTCAGGATCGAAAATTCTTGCTTGTGTAAACACAGCTAGACTGAATACACCTAGACATTGCTGAACATCTAGGTGTGCATGAAGCCATAGCAAAGCATTACATGCTCCATTATTTTGGAAATAAGCTCCATATTTTAGAGCAGTGTTCCGGGACATAAAATGAAATGCCCCAAACCTGTGTATGGAGAGGAGCTTACTGGAATAATAGGGGAAGTATGCATGTAAACATGCAAAACTACGCATGTATCCAAGTAAATTAATCTAGTGAAAATATTAATATTTTATATAAAAATATTGCTAACCATGGCTCCAATTAAATAGATTTTCTCTTACTTTCTGTCAATGTGACTGGAATACAGACACTAATACAATTGTGGTTTCTAGCCTTCCCCCACATTATGGGGCTGATGTATAAAAAGCTGGGTGAATGCACAAAGCTGGGAAAATGCTGTGCACATAACATTACTGCCACTAGATAGCACCGAGGAGCACAGGAGTTTTCTGTGCTCATCAGTGACATTTGTTGGCAGTAATACCAAGCTAACGGCATTTGCCCAACTAGCCAGAAGGTTTATACATGAGCCCCCATGTGTTATTGTCTGTGTTGATGTTGGATATTTACCCTCACTTCCTGTCTGGTCAAACAATTGTCCCAGGAGCAAAAAGGGAGGGCAAATCTGTCTAACAGAGCCCAGGAGGAAAACCAGTGGGGTTCTGATCTTTCCCCCTTTATCCAAAATAGAAAAAAAGTTTTGCCTGAGTATAGGAAGGAATGCTCAAATTTTATATAAGTTATATGGTGACTGATTCTCTTTGTGTTACTCTAGATTGCAAACTCTTACAGGATGTGTTCCCACTCCTATTGTATCTAATTTTTGCTTTTCATGGTTTGCTAACCAATTGCAGGGACCTCCTTAATATTTTGTAACTTATATTGCGCAAACTGTGGGTGCTATATAAATCCTGAATAATAATAATAATAATTAGAATATTTATATAAACTTGTCATTGCAATGTTTTCTAAAAATCGCTAATGTATTCACACCAGTAGATGGTGATATAAAGATCCAAAATAATCTAACACATAAATATAAAATCAATCTCTCTCTCTCATGTGTGTATATATATATATATATGTGTATATACACACGTGTATATATAATTACTGACCAAAAGTATTTTATTTTGTGTACAGCACTATGTATAGATGCATATCTCTCTAACATAGCCTAGAATATTCATCTACAAGCGGCAATTATTTAAATGAACCCCCAGAGTCTTCTCCTCCTCGATGAATTAATTAATGTTCATCACAGTCTCCAGTGAAATCATTCAAACGTAACACAAAAAAAATCAAAGCAAAGTGATTAGCGAGTATGAAGTTCAGTAAAAATAAAGAAACAGGTATGGGAGACAGCATGAAATCCCCCCTCCCCTGAGACAAGATATTTATAGGCTGACTTTAAAAAAAATGTCAAAGCACTGCCTGAAGTCAAAATGCATTAAAGAGACAATCATTAAATAATTATGGATCTAATATAAATGTGGTTTTAAATATGGAAGAACCACAAACATATTTTACAATTTAGCAGAATCGGATATGAAAACATATCTGAGCACTTCTGAACACGATTAAACTAAAGGTGCTCATACAAAGGCCAAACATCTTCAGAGAAAGGTCATTGAACTTGTCCACTGGTAATGAGCATGTGGGCCTTATGATCTATGGATCTTATGATCCACCAATCCTTCACATTGATAGGTATCAAGCTGGACACTGACTAACCTTTACCATTCTATTGAAAAATAAAAAAGAATGGTTTTGGTTAGGTCCATAGACCAAGATTTGTGCTGCCAGTACTTTTCTATACTCATCTAGTCACCACCTCTAGATGAACTGACACTCCACACTGTTTCTTGCAGCCTTTTCACACTTGTTGCACCGTATTCGGTTGTGATGTCTGATTTTGTTAGAGTGATATTAAAGTGCTCTTGTGCCCAGATTGTGGACATTAAACTATTTACACAATCTTAACATGCAGTGAAAGAGTTTTAACACAAGCCTTCTGACCTCCCTAGCTTTTTTTAAATAATCTTTATTTCTAGTTTTTCAAAGGTGTACAATAAGAGAATTAGTTGGGGGACAAGTCAGGTTTCAGTTTTTCCATTAAAAAAGCTAAGATTTCAGTGCCTATGTTGTGAAGTCTGAAAATAAAATGTCTCCACAATGCTCACAGATACAATAATTAATGAAGGTTTGTTGTAAAGCGCTTTTTCTTAATATGTAAGTACTTTAGCATGCATAATCTGGGCACAGGTTTGCTTTGAGGCTGGGCAGCTAAATCATCTAGGAGGGTAGCATATGGTGGGCCCAGGGATGCAGGAAGTATAAAAGCAACCCTGGAGTTGGCATCCAATACTTTTATTTGAAGGTGTAGGTTCTGACCCCAAAAAATGCTTCCCTACCTGAGACAGTGACTCAGGATGAGTATGCTTATTTCAGGTCTCACAACTCTTCACTGATAGTATGCTTGCTGGTAAAGGCCACTTGTAGCCTTCACCAGACCAAATGAAAGATGGTGACAAGCAGGAGGCAGGAGCACAACTTGGAGACAATTGTCTGGAAATACCAGAAGAAGGACATTCATGGTTGGATCACCAAGAATGTTTTAACGATCAGTGCCGATTGATAAGATTTGACAACACCTTTGAGATCCCATGTTAAAAATGATATTAGATTTTAGTGATTGGGGGTTAAATCTACTTCAATGCCCTGATTATGTTGTTATAATTTGCCTACACAACGGGGTGAATTTACAAAGAGAAGGACATTGAAGCAAAGGCTAGTCTTGTTGTTGAAGACCAGTGGATTTTTTCCCCCAACTAATTTATTCCAGGCCAAGTTAGGAGAATGGCAGTATTTTAACTGATTTAATAATGTCAACTTCAGAGTACCTACCCAATTCAAACTGTGATGAGAGGTTTCCACATGTTTGCCGAATTTCCTCACTGTTCCAGCCCAGAGGATAAAGAGCACAGCCAGACCCAATCAGCAGCCCTGTGCAGAAAAGAAACATAATTAGTATGTTACTTATCATACGGTTGATTTGGGATTAATGAGTAGCATTGGTTAAATTGCAGCAAATCCATAGTTGCAGTTGCTTTTGCATTCTAAGTATAGGCCCTGATGTACACCTACTCACACACATTACAGTTTGATCTACTACAATCAAAATGTAAATGTAATAGTTTGAAAGACGACACTACAGGGTTTGTGGACAAATTTGTAATCAGTCAAATTATCATCCACTTTATCCTACAGACATATCCACATTTTATAAACACAATAGGGGGCTGATGTATAAAACTTCCACCTAACGTATAGCTGGGCGAATGCCGCTCGCATGGCATTATGACCATTAGATGGAGCCAATGGGCATCTTCTATGCCCCTCAGCTGCATCTAGTGGCAGTAATCAGCTCACACTAAAGATAAGTTTTATACATCAGCCCCTAGGTCTTATGTGACCCCCCACAAACACTAATGTTATACTCCTCTGTAAACTTAATTGATTGTACAAGTGAATTGTAACATTTGGGACAGGCTTTTGTCTCTGGGGATTTTTCACACTCAAAATGACCCCTTTTTTTGTACATCAAGATCCTGCAAGACAATACTGACACACCTTTCAGCAGCAGTGTCCCTGGAAATGACTTGGCTATACACACAGCTGAATCACATATATATTTATTGCCTATACAAAAAAGAATTTGTCATTTTGTTTTAGCCAAGCTGGTGATTTACACACATCTACCACACTGCACAACCCAGACTGGTGACACACTCATTTCCTGGTGCACAAATTCAGCTTCCAATGTCTCCTCTCTGCTTCCAGCCTGGTCACTGGACAGTAAATCAGTATTATCACCTTCTGTCCATTGAGGAGGAAGCTAACCCAGGAAGCAGAAAATTCGAACCGGAAGGACTAAAGAAATACAAACCCTATGGTAGGTTAATGAGTCAATTTATTTTAGCTGTGTTATTGGATGATTTATTGTAGTTCCACTTTTATTTATTTATTACAGGTATTTATATAGTGCTGTCAATTTAGGCAGCACATTACATATAGAACATTCACATCAGTCCCTTCCCTCAAGGAGCTTACAATCTAAGGTCCCTATCGCACATTCATACATACAGGGACAATTTAGACAGGAGCCAATTAACCTACCAGCATGCCTTTGGAGTGTGGGAGGAAATCGGAGTACCTTGAGGAAACCCACACAAGCACAGGGAGAACATATAAACTTCATGCAGATAGTGTCCTGACAGGGATTTGAACTGGGGGCCCCCAGTGCTGCACTTTAAAAGGTTGGCAGTTATATTGTTCATGTGCACAGGCTCATCATATCCAACCTAATTTATTATGTAATATTTGGTGAAGAATGGCTTGAGATTACTTTGTACAGTTACAGAATCACAAAATACAAAGAGCAACATTTTGCTATCTTCCAAATGCACAGTAAGAGCCAGCAAGACATAGAGTCACCCAACAGACACAGATGGTGGTAATTATTCTTACATGAGTTTCTGCATGATGGATAAAGCCAGCAACGCGGGCCAAGAGACGAGCAGAATCCCACAATCAAGGATGTGCCAGAGCCAAGACAGAATACTTAAGATGCCCCAGTGCAACATTGAGAAATGTGCCATCCAAACAGCAGCATCTGTTATTTGTCATCACCAGCAAAACACGACTTGTGTACCTCACACGTAGAACACGCTGGATCATAAGATACCCAGATTACAGCTTCAACACCAGTCAAGTGAGACAGCCATCACCTAATGAACTGTTGAAGGCTCTGCTTCACCACGCACCAAACATCAAAGGTAATTAAAAATAATTATGTCAGTAAGTGTGGGTCACGGCAGAGGTTTGTGTACACAGCAAGTAATTGCACCATGAGATGAGAAGTGAATTAAAGTAATCTCTCCTTCTTTTTCCAACATCGAGGCAGGAAGTCAGCTTCTAAACATAGCTTCTTCATGCTGGCTATAGAAGCATGTGAGACAGATGTTTCCAAACAGTTCAACCTTTTCAGTTGTCAACTTTAACCTTTCCTGCTGGTGTACTACATACAGTATATGTGGCAGCATAGCGGGTTTGCCATATATGCTTCCTTGGTGCTTTGTTGTTGCGTGCTCTCAGCACACAGACAGCTCCTTGTCACCATAAATGACTGAAAGCTGGTGTCAGAAACCACCTGGTACTGCGCATGTGCGGGGTCCAGTTTTCCATACTGCTGCTTCCTGATGGATCACCCTATTTAAACAGGCCTGCCTAACTCCAAGTTGTTGGATTGTCTTTCAGCTCCCCCTGTGTTCCTTGTGCTTCTGTTGATCTTGCTCACTGCTGACCCAGATTATCCTTAAACACGTTGATTGCTGCCTGGCCCTGACCTTCTGCTTGCTTATTGGATCTGTCTCTGTCTCCTGCCTTTGTACCTTGCCGCCTGACTGGTGTGATCCCTGGCTTGTTTGACCACGATTTTGGATCCTGCTCTGCACTCCACTGCCTGCCTGGTTGTGATTGCAGCTCAGCACGACCCAATCTAGTGCCGGGACTCCAGCTTACACGGTGTGATCACTACTGGCACCTGTGCCACTCGCTGTCCACTCAGACTCTGTTCCCAACTCCAGAGTCTTTGGGACACAAGGTGCAAGAGAAGCCCTCTCCCACATTCAGTCTCCAATCAGGTACGTGACAGCTGGTGGGACAGGCTGCTGATCATGTGACTGCTGTGATAGCCAACCACATGGATCAGGACTCTACTGCCAATGTTAAGACTCAGTTAAAGGGCTGGTGGGAGGTGGCAGCAAGGTGTTTAAGTGTATTAAACCGCCCCCCAAAAAATTTAATATATTTATTGTAGTTTACCAGGTTACCAGTAGATACTTGATACTTGCTGAAAATGTTCTCAGCCTGAAAAAAAACAAAAAAAACTAATACAGCCATCACATGTAAGGACTGGTAAGCTGCAATATATGACATCTTTGGATTTACAACCTTCCAGCAGCATCCCCGGAAAAGCCAAGGATCCCACATCCCACTAGGATGTTTTCCTGCACAGTGTTGAAGTGTCTTATAGTGAGATTTGGGATGCTGAACTTTTCAAAGATCCTGTTGTGAGGCCCAGTGACATCAGTGGCAGGAACCAAGTTGCAGTTGAACACAAAAGGGGATTAAGTTGTGTATTTTCTTGTTCTGTTTTTTGTTTTTTTTACTGCACTTTTTTTTTTTTTTGGCACAACTCATTTACAAGGTCAAATCAGGGTTCCCATAACCTCCAAAATTAGCAACTCTGGACTCTCAAGCATCTATAGAACAGGTGTCTAAACAGCTAGTCAGCAGGGATCCAATTTTGCAGCCATTTTACCACCTATAGGAATTGCCTAACTACTTGCTGAAATTCCTTTCAGATCATTCATGATGTGTGTGTGAGATAGTGCTGAACTGATAAAAGTGGAAGATGGTTCGAAGGATTCTAAGTGGAGTGCTTTTTCCTTCTAAGAAGCAGATGCATGGTGAAACTTTACTATATGTGGACCTTGTTTTGGTCTAAGTTACATTAAAGTAATCACTCAACTCTTGGATGTGTATTGTTCATATCACTTAAAAAGTCGTTTTGAAATGTTTATTGATAAAGAACATCAGATACAATCAACACGTTTCAGGGTAAAGGCCTCCCCCCTTCTTCAGGGCTAACATACAAAAAGAACAATAATAGGTAAAAAATACAATAAAAACTGGTATAAACATCAAATGAAGATGAAACACAAATTTATGTGGATGTTTATACAAGTTTTTATGATATTTTCTTTACCTTTTACTCTTCTTTTTGCATGCTATCTCTGAAGAAGGGGGAGACCTTGGTCCCCAAACAAGTTGACTGTATATGATGTTGTTAACCAATGAACACTTTAAAGCGATTTTTTAAGTGGTACACACATTTGTTCTAGGCACTCCTCAGTAAACTTCCAAGAGTTGCAGACAATTTATGGTATATTTCAATAAACAAAAAAGCATCATATAAACCTAGACTCCAAACTGTAATATTTGGTGGGAGTTTTTCCATTCCAGGACCTACAAAATCTGTCTACTAGTGTTGACTTTCAGGTGAGGTGGCTCAGGGAATTGATGCTGCAGACCAACCAACATTCTGCGTTCTACTGTAGTCCGGGTTTAGTTAAATCTTGTAAAAAAAGATAACAGCTCCACTTCAATAGATCAGTTGCAGTGTTACAGGTGGCTCATAAAGGAAGGGAGCTATAGAGGAAATATGTAATAAGTTAAATATAGAAACAGATATTATTTGCTCTCAAGCCCGTTACTGTGAATATTAAAAACATCTTTCGATAGTTAGGTCTCCATGAGCTATATATGAGCTATATTACAGTTCACTTAGATCTCAAAGCTGAATTATGTGTTTATGGCTGACGGCATAGGAAAACATCTTCAGATGTTACAGCAGTTACTAAAAATCACTGGGCTTGCGTCAATGCCGTCTTACTGGGTTCGTCTATTAGTACCTAATGATACGATCCTGTCATATGGGCAGAACTACTGGCATCATTACCATAAAGGAATCCCTTCCAGCAAAAGGGTCAAAGAGATTCTCACAATGCTTTGAGTAAATCAATTAATGGTTGCTGCTAAGATGAGCAGTGCCACAGTGCAGGTGAGCTAAGGTGGTTTCAAAGGTAGCAATACATGGTAGCAAACCTTACATATTTAACTAGAAATTAAGGCTTTATTCTCACAAGAGTAGTGTTCCTCATTAGCTCCTCAGTAGGTCTCAGTTTTCATGCGTATGTTGTTTACATATTTACAAGTGTTCAGATCTGTTTGCGTGAATAAGTTTACATTTAAGTGTGTTATCCTCCCCTTATAATAGTTTACATCCAATTCCTGCAAAACCTGACCGAAATGTACCAAACTTTACAAGTACCTCCATCCAGGCAGGTGAATGTGTTACATGCAGGATCACAAAGCTGTTA